GGTCATGTTTAATAAAATCACATGTAAGATAATGTTAACGAGTTTATACTTTTTTTAATTTGTGTACTATTATGTAATGTAAGAATGTAATGCTTTTAAGTAGAAATAATAAATCAAAATAGATGACCATACGATGTCTCCTGACACGCCAAATTATACTTGTCAGTTTTTTTTATTTTCCTGGTTGAGCGGGCGGGAAGTATAAAAGGAATTTAAGGAATAAAACCTTAACCCCGGATATCCAATCACGTACTTGCTTTCACTTTCAGATATGCACGTGTGTCTCGAGTTATACCTTTGGTCTATCTACTGCTGAAGCTAAAAACATCCTCCATTCAGTTTCATGTTTCGAAACAGACAACACAATTCAATCCACGGCTTATATGCTGTTGCAACATGAGTGAAACATTTTGTTTTCCTTCAAATTTCACAGTAGATGACATTTGCGATTAGAATTAGAATTAAATTATAAAATTCGAACGTTAAAAACACGGCTCATGTCTTTAACAATTCCTCGGATTTAAGCACTTTAGAAAAATATAAACTAACATTTTATTACTCAACCGTCTTGAGAAATGAACATATTTACGCAATCAATAAAGAAATAATTTGATAAACACATTTATGATAGATAACAATTGTCTTAAATACGGGTAATATTTGCGATTGATTTGCGGCAGGGTAAAAATTATCGCAACTTTCTTGTCAGTTGCGATTGAAAGCCTTTCAATTTACGATTGCGTTGCGCTGCATTGAGAGGATGATACAAATTCTGATTGCGATTTGCAAAAACTTGCGTTGCGTTGTGGAGCGATTGCGAATCTGCGTTGCGACGAGCGGATGATGAGGCCTCAGAGCATCCTGGGTTTGTTGTCTCCTTGAAGAATATCTTTCAACAACCCCACGGTATTACCCAACTTTTCCTTATTTTGAACATTTATCATGGTTCTGGTTGTCTTGAGTTTGCTTTCATTTCCCTGGATGAAAGAGACATTACATTTCCAGACATTACCCTTGATTTGGGGATTGTAGGAAACTTGTCAGTACCTCTGGATTAGTTCATGCCATGATTTATAATTCTTTGGAATATTTTTGAGAAGGTCCCTATCAACTTCTACTGAACTCCTAAACTAATTGCTTAGTACACTCTTCAAGCAGATCTCCATTCTTTAGACATTCAACTAGTGGTCATTAGTAAAATTGTACTCATCATTTATGGTAGAACAAGATAACAAATCAGTGGACTTCTTGAAATTATTTGGATAATTAAAAGAATAAAGAAAACTACTCAGATGGCTATCTGTAAATAATAATAGTATATTCAAGTTAAACTAACACCCCATTATCTTTCATAAAGAAGCACCCTACAGCCCTACAAGATACAAAACCCCGCCAAATATACCATGTGTATAGCTCATTTTGTTCAGTAAGTACTGCAGTTATCCTTTATAGGCTAATGCTTAATGTGTAATTATGTAATTTTTATCAGCTATCTAATTTCCTCAATGGGCTGCAGGGGGGGGGGGGGGTACTCTACCACGGTCTTTTATTAAGTGTGATTACTTGTGAAGTGAATATTTGGACAAATTGGATCGGTATCGTGGTAAAACACACAGGGAAGGAAAATCAGCTATTTGTTCCAAGGGTTGTTGTAACCAATTGGAATTCGAAGTTGGGTTACAGATTGCATTTGTAAGTTCAAAGGAATTTGAAATCTAGAAATTATAATAAAATTACTGCAACTATCGTGCAGCAAATCAGTTGATCACTATCCTGCCTTGCCTTATAAAAAACATTTGGTTGTTTCCAAATTATCTACATGGCTGCTTTTAAGAGAGTAGAAATCTGGCATAAAAGATCACATGCTTTATTTTTTCTCATGTTTAATGTTTATGATGGAGATTTTTATATATTGTTTATGATCATCATGAACCATAACTTATAAAAATGAAAAATCGGAAACAAATCATCAATCATCAACTTGGTATTGAAAGTAAGTTTTGAAAATTACTTTATAAATTGTATAACCCATTGTTCATTAAAGTATGTTCTTTTCCGCAATGGCATGCATTCATTTCATGTTGTGAAATTATGAATTTAGCAATTCAGCAAAATAATGATATATCAGGTATTAATATAGATGGTAAAGAATATAAGATGTCCCAATATATCACTTTTTATTAAAGATAAAGAGTCGCTGAAAAGTGCTCTTAATACTATTTCTAATTTCTCAACATTTCAGGTCTGAAGTTATACATGGAAAAAACTGAATGCATTTGGCTTGGAAAAAACAAAGACTTTGAAAAGAAATGTGAAAATATAACCTTCACTGATGAACCAATCAAATATTTAGGAATATCTTTAGGACACAACAAGAAAAAGTGTTATGAATTAAACTGGGAAGATAGAGTAAAAAAAGTAGAAAAAATACTAGACAGCTGGAAAAACCGATATTTAATATTATTTGGCAAGGTAACAGTGATTAAATCACTGGCAATTCCGAAATTGATATATGCAGCATCAGTATTATCTGTGCCAAATAAAATTATAAAAAGGTAAACAATCTCATATTTAAATTTCTTTGGGATGGAAAAAATGACAAAATAAGAAGAACTATAGTCATAAATAATATTAATAAGTGTGGTATAAATATGATTGACTTATAGTCTCAAATACTTGCAATTAAAGCAGCATGGGTCCCACGCTTGCATAATCAAAACATGTACAATAAAATCCCTTATTTCTGTTTCAATAAATTTCTTCCAAATATGACTGTTTTACTTTGAAATGTTCAATTTTTATCAACAAGTGCTGGAAGCACATTGTTTATGTAAATGCATAAAAAATATAAGAGATATGAAGCAACATGAACTCTTACAAGAGGTTATATGGGGAAAAAGATTATTCACTGTCAAAAATAAACCAATTTTCTTTGAATCATGGGTCAGAAGTGGAATTATCTATATAAGAGATTTGATAATCCAAAACAGGTGTCTTGATATTTATATGTTATATCAAAAACGGGTAAATAAACAAAATTGGATATCTGAATATTACAGAGTCTTATCTGCCACAAGCACACTGAAAGAAAGATTCAATTTAGAATCTGTAAAATATACAAATATTCAAAATACTTTTAATGAAGTAATAGGCTGGGTTATATAATACCATGAACTTCCTCCCTCTGCTAATATCCTCTATGGATAACATATGAGCCGTTTAACCCCTGTCGCTGTGAGTTCTAGTATATGAAGAAATGAAATGAAATACTGGTACTCATTTTAGACCTGTAGCCAGGATTTACCGGGGGGCGGTTTTACCAGAAGGGGGGTTTGCCAAGGGGAGGGGGGGCTTTTTCACAGTTTTTGGCAAAAAATCATGCGGAAAGAACTCAAAATGGTGAAAAACTGCATTATTTTGAAATATATTTCAGGCCAGGGGGATTGGCCGCTCCCTACGCTCCCCCTGACTACGGGCCTGCATTTTGCCAAAATTAACAACTGAGTATAAGTCAAACTTACCAGGAGACAAGCAAGAAAGATCCCTAGGTTTTATAAATTCCAAGTCTTCTGGTACTAAGCAGGAAGGGTCATCTATAGTATTATTTGGACTTTCAGACCCTGGTGCACTTGCTCGTAAAGGAGTAAATTGAAGATCGTCTGCAAGGTGCCAGAAACTCTGGTTGACTGGTTTGGAGTGACCCTTTACTGGGGTACTGGTTATTGGAAATTGATTTGATTCCATCAAAGGTTCATCTTCGAAATCAAAAATATCAGCCTTGTAAGAATCAGTATTGGTACTTTCACATACAGGAGCATCAGGGTGAGGGTCAGAAATGTCATGGACAGATGTGATAAATGAGGACCCAGGTCGATCTCTTTCACTGCACTGTTGCACATCTAACGAAAGTCCTAGAATATCTCCTGCGTCAGACTCACTTTCAATTAAAGAAAGTCCCAAAAGATCAGGATCTATCCCACTGTGTTCTTCATCATGATTGGTTTCATCTATATCATTCACCTGTAATTAAATAATCGGGATTGAAAAACGCTTTATATGTTCGTTCCTGCCAATAATTTATTTTTTACATTACCACGGTCTGTCAATGGTCATCACATAAATACCTAAGGCTTGTGGCCAAACAGTTTTAAAAGACTCACTATCTAGGCATACATTATTGCTTAATGAAGGGATATTAATTTTTTTGCATGTAATTGTACTTGCTAACATCACATATATTCAGCTAGTCTTGCCTTTAAATGTGTACACCCCCCCCCTTGTGTATTAAACATTTCTAAAGAACAATCTTCAAGCAAGAAAGTATTACGCACAATATTATGAATGGCTTCTAACTAGCGGATTGGCCAACATGACATTATGAGGCTATTTTACGGGGATACGATTTATCTCTGGAAAAAGTGCCAATCGTTACTACGGGCCTGAATCACAGGTTTTCACCCCTCTAGAAAATTAAGTGATTATGGTACATTAAGCAATAATTTGGAGCACTGGTGTATTCTACTGTCGTTCTGTTTTTCCTGGAAGCAAATCCATTTTCTAAACTTGTATGACTATAACAAAAGTCCCCATTTTCTTCAATGCGGTTTCTGCATAATACTGATAAACCTACATCAATGTCACTAAAATGATTTTGAAGTTTTGGTTTTAAATGAAAGAATGAGTCGTCGGTAAGTGCGAAAATATAGGACTAATTATTTTTAAGATAATAGTGTTATAGTGATTTGTATAAGTGATTCACAAAACCTCGTTTGCTAGTTAATACGCAAAGACTTACAATGTATTATCTCAATATCAATGAATTAATACAAGAGCTGTTCAACTAATGTTGCAATTTATATATATATGCTAATTACATAGCCTGGCTCATTAACTGAAGCTCTAGCTGTCAGGGGGCGGATCCAGAAACCAATAAGGAGGGGGGCATTTTTCTAGTCGGGAAAAAACATACACGCTTGCGCGGAAAAAATTGGGCCCCTAAAACCAAAATGAGGGCCTAAATTTTGAAAAATTAAGGCCCATTTTCTTGATAATTTAGTCTGAAATTAAAAAAGAATGTCTTAAAAGGCCAAGTTATGCCCTAAATATCGAATAATTTGGGGCCCTGAATTTTTTTGGCCCACCCCTGTCCCCTCAGAACCGCCAGTGCTCTGTATTGACAGGATAATATCAAGAGGGGCCTAGTAGGAAATATGATTTCACAATAATGGTCTCCCACTTGGCTCACCATTTATAAGCAATAAGTTCGAAATTGAAGTATAATATGCATAACTAGTATAATAACCCTCAAAATGATAATGATTAGTTGAAAATTCAACTGAATTAACTCTGAGAAGTGGAACATATAAGAGCTGTTCTGAATCTGATTGTTTCAAGAGCAGCTGGATATAAGGGCATGTGTGTGCCATCGAAATATTAATTACATCATTAAATAAAAAAGTAATGATAAGTGCGCATACTTACCAAATCATTTAAAAGTTTCTTTGGTCCAATACCTGCTACTTCTTTCATTGCAACAGATGTAAGGCATAATAAAACGAAAAAGTACTCCATTTTGTTATTTTATATATCCGTTAAACATGATAAGCACTGTTTGAATATTTTGTCTAAATCACATAGACACCGTAGAATGAATGCTGTGTTTGCCCTATAAACAAGGTCCCTCTGCCTAATACAGATCTGTATCTTCACCAAAACATCATTTTCCTGTACAGCCACTCATTAACAACGGTTATTATACAACGATTCCATGTCCGGGTATTCCACAGTGGTTTGGAAACAGATTAATCAACTTTAATCAATGTAATGTGAGACTTTGCTCTGATACTTGGATGGTAAAATATGTTACTCTCTCAAATATTAGATACATATAGGTTGTAGAAAGATAAATCAAGTCGTATTCAGTCACAATAAGTTGCAGCTGTGCATGCATTGGATTATATAAAATAAGGATAAACAAACAGTCATTTGGGATCGTAACGGGTCGTAACTTACAAAAAAGTTAAAACGAATAACATAATAAACGGCATTACCTAACTGTGAAATGTGGTGGTTTGAAATCCGGGATTCGAAGGCATACCTTCATAAAAGCACTGATGAAGAGTTTTCATCTGAAATCGTTGAGCTGGGTGACACTGACAAAACAAAGATTGGTCAAATTCAGGTATGTATGGCCATCCTACTCCAAACAGTTTCATCAAATGCTTCATTTTCTAGAGTGTTACCCTTTGTGTTGGGAATATTAAAAAGTCATTGTTTGGGGGCGGGGGCATTTTTGCAAACAATGAACATTACCAATTTAAAATCACGATTCTCATATAATCCCTCCTTATACCAATGACTTGACTTCGATAATCGTACTTCTGATATAATGACAAATGTCAAAGCTCACACCATAATTAATTTAGAATGGCATTAAATAATTACACTAGTGCCGGTTCTATTGTATATTTACTCATATATACTCTGATTTTGGTAAAAGTACTTACAAGTGTTCTACCTTATAATTTATTTGCTGTACTCCTTTTTACAGATGAAAATCTACAACTGTAAAAAAGATGAAAGAAAAGTTGAAAGCATGCCTTTGTTACTGTCGATGCTGGATACAAACAAAAATGAAAACACAAAGAAGTTTGCAGGGCAAGGTGTTAAATCCCGGTCGGTCTTCACGAGGCTATGGAAGAGCATGATTGCTGGTAAGTTTAAAAATATCAACAATGTGTACACAATGTGTAAAAGATATTCATAGGATATCCTATGATTTTGAGGAATATCATTTTTATCTACGAGTTGATATTGCTGTCTGCACGAGAGAGCGAAGCGAACGAGTGCATCTATCGATATCACCAAGTAGATTAAAATGATATTGAAAAAGTCATAGGATGTTCTTACTATCCTACACTTACTAGTAGTGTACTAAATGTATATCGTGGCGATATCCCCCGCTTATTCATTTTGGTAATAGATATAAATTATGTTTTTTAATGTTATTATACATTTAGTACAGTAAGTGTAGGATAATATAGGAATATCCTATGGTTTTGAAAAAATATCATTTATATCCATGAGTGGATATTGATATCTTCATGAGTGAGCGCAGCGAATGAGTGAAGATATTTGTATCCATGAGTGGATATAATTGATATTTTTGAAAAACCATAGGATTGTCCGTTTATCCCATGGGAAATCATTATCAGCGAAAAAAGTTGAAAAATAAAATTTGAGAAAAAATGTCAAAAAATAATTGAAAAAATTGTGAAAAAATGTTGAAAAAAAAATTTGAAATTTTGAAATTTGTTTTAAATATTTTTGAAAATAATTTTAAAATGTAAAAATAATTTTTTTACCATCGAATATCACTTTTCAAACCATCGAATATCACTTTTTAAGACGTGATATTCGATAGTTTAAAAGTGATATTCGATGGTTTGTGAATGTTTTGCTAAAATATGATATCTTGATCAACATATCAAATATATCTTCATGTGATATTCGATCTATATCCTTGCAACCATGGGATAATTTGTTTTATAATAGTGTGGCGAAAATAAAGATAGTGTTAAGGTTTGGTTTCAACATATTTCCAATCAAAAAGTACTATATATATTAAAATAAGATGGTGCACCTTTTAACGTATTTGTTAAACATTGCACTGTACAGTAGAACCTGTGTATTATGGAAACTATCCCGATGCCAAAAATGTTTCATTAGAGAGAGAGAGAGAGAGAGAGATCGAGAGTTCATGTTTTGCGTCAATTCTAAAAGCAAACAAATGTCGAATAAGCATTGCTGATCAAAGAGATCAGAGATGAAGCTAGTCCTCACTATTTACTTAGTCATCACTATTAATTTTGGAATTTTGGTATCTGGATTTAAGGGCTAACTTGATTAAAACAATTGTCTTTATCTATTTGTTCATTTGTTCAGCATTGTAGTGTAATTTCAGTTAGTGAAATCAGATTACTGTGTTTTAAAAAATGTTGAGGTAATTCACAGTAGGCGGAAATTCTATATATAGAATCAGATATTCTGGCTTAATCAGTATTCGCTCACACTTAAGAATCATATGGATTAATTCATCCACCACCTAAAACAATGTGATCTATAGTGGAACCATGTTCTATTATGTTAATTCCCCTTAAACATCCGCGTAGTCCCTTAACATGTATATCGATGGGGGAAATATTTGGTTCATTTGAAAATTGTTCCATGTAAAGAGAGTTTCATTATATAAAGGGGTTCCATAAGATTCTACTGCATTCAAAACTGTAGTTAAAAGGACTATATTTGAGAAGACCAATTTTCAGAACATCGTTGAACCTTGCCACTCACGCAATCAACTGATTGATATTTAAAGCTTATTCTGTTGAAAATAAAGTAAAAACACTGAGGTAGGGAGAGAAACATGTGAATATATAAGCGCAAATGCAAAATGGAAAGGGTGACTAAAAAGTTTAAAGAAACCCAACAAGAAAAGCAAACTCTAAGTGTAAATCTGTCATAAGAAACGTAGACCCTATATATCTCAAAACCATGATATTATGAGAAAAGAAACAATGTGTAACATCCCCTCCCCCTACAATCGAAAAACAATATCACATTTCAGGACCAGAACATCAAGGGGCATTTCTTTCATACTGAAGTCATTACAATACATGTTGAAGAAAAATTGAAAAAATTTATAGCCAATACTCATAACATCAAAAATAGTTGTAGATACTAGTACTCATAAAATATAATGATGATAGATAAAATCGAGTCTCGAAGTCCATAGGCAATTCAAAGGGTCAACATCCGTTCGCAAAGCCGTCAACATAATCTATAAAACACAACAATTCACAGCGGTCAGCAGGAGAAACTATTTCTCAACCATTAATGCCACAGCCGGGATCCACCTCAAAAGGTGCCGAGTGAAACAATTGTGAGTTCATTGCCAATTTATTATACCATTCCTACATCCTTCAGCATCTCAGGTGGTAAAACTTTAAATTTCGAAATTAATGACTTGTATTTTTCAGCAAAGCCCAGAAAGGATTTCTTAAGTATAACCTTGACCTAACAGCTTGATCACTAAAATATGGTGTCTTGATTTGAAATTTGAAAATAAATATTTAGAACGAAGGCCTCATTGAAGATTTTACAGTAGCATTGGATAGACCAAGAAAAAGTCTTTTTTGTAATGGTTGGAAACTGTTATTTTGTTTGCTTATGCGTTTTCGATACATACAGTATATAGGGTCTCTGCAACAACTATGGAACTCAGGGAATGTTAGCCATGGTTGTAAATCTGAGTGCGGAATTGAAGAATAAATAAATAAAAGTTTATATCTGCCAGCAGAATACCATTTATTAGAGTTAATGTGTTAGTTAATGGCCATGATGAAAAGATGATGGGGCCACTTGAAGGTCAAGCTGGAGAAATACTTCATTAATGAATCCTAAATAATTAATGGCCAGAGCGGTTGGTAATCAAATATTTTGCCAACATTAAAATGAGTTACAAGAAGTTGCTGCTCATAGAGTTGGGATTTTAGCGTTTATGTTTCACAAAACTCCATAGTGTTAATATGTTGCCAATTACAATATTTTAAAACCTGGCCAAAAAGCAAAATCAGAATGATATCAAGTCATTCACATCTATTTGGAATACACATACGCAATATATTCATTAATAAATAATGCTGGACGCAATAGGATTTCATTCTATTTTTGCTAGTATACATTTTTTATGATTAAAGTTCTCAACTATTGCGAATACAAAAGTTCCATACCTAATTGCAAACATGATTTTTGATTTAATTTTAATCCAGATCCCCAAGTAAAACACGGGGTTTGTGAAAATACTTTTTCAAATGTGATACATTTTTCTAGAAAGGGGTGGATATATTCTAAAGGGGTATTTCAACCAGAAATGGCCTAAAATTGCAGGAGTTTGAAAAAAGTTAAATCCCTAAACTGCAATGACTCATATTCAGAACGACGTTTTTTGTTACATTGAAAAAGCGGAAAATTATATTTTAGGACCACCGTGGGTATGGGATACATCTTTCATGTACCACCTTCCAGTACATCAGTGGCGGATCCAGTGGGGGGGGGGGCATGGGGCCCGCCCGCCCCCCCCCCCCCCCAAGGTGGGCCCGAAAAATAGTGGGCACAACAATTTTGTAAGGCCTCAAAAATAGGCCTTCTTTGCATTACGTGGCCTTTTGGGTCTTTTTGGCCAATTTGGCAAAAATTGGGCCTTAAATGTTCAAAATGTGAGCCAAATGTTTGGTTTTAGGGGCCACGAATTTGGAATTTGCTCCCCCCTCCCCCTTGTTGGTTTCTGGAACCGCCACTGAGTACATAACCCTTATATAAAGGCCGATCCAGAAGTTCTGACGAAAAGGCTGAAGGTTTTTTTAAAGACCAAAATCCGGTATAAAAGGCAGATGGAACAGCCCACAAAAGCCAAATATGGCAGTTTAAATGTCCAGTTAAAACAAAATGAGAATTTTTTCAAACTTTCTGCTATAGCAAGATTATTATGATGAGTTACAAGCTTTTTTGTTACAGTGGTTCATGAATCTATAATGAGAATAAATTTCAAATCAAATTCCTAAAATAATGTTTAGTTTTTGTGAAATAAGACAATTCATTTTTGTAAATATGCTCATTACCATAACTGAAATTTTAAATTTTAGCCAATGGGCATCTCTTATCTGTCTAAAAGTAAACAAACATAGCATACGGCTGTAGCAGACCATGTGGTTCTAGCACTGATTGGCTGAGCTGTGACAGCTTAATTAATAGCTTCAACCTGGGTTTCTACTAAACAGGAATTTAGGCATTTAAAGGGTTCCGATTAGCATCCCGTATAAAAACAATATGGCGGCTCAAGGCGAATCAACTGGATCAGTCCATTTTTAAGAAATAAGGGGAGTTCTGTAAAATCCAGTTTATTGAAATTGTCTTTGAGATAAAGTAATCCGTTTATAATGATTTTGAAAACGTTACCCAAAGAGTGATTGCGTTCAAAAAATACATGTACAACAGCCAATATAAATCCTTGTATTAGAAACCGGTTTGTCTTGCTTTGTTTCATTTGTAAGATATTTCATATGCCAAGCTGTGTGCTATTACCTTATTGGGAAATTTAGATGCCAATTTTCCTTATTATACACAAATAGAAGATGCTGAAACTTCACCCATAAATGTGGAATTGATTTGTCAAAATAAAAATCACCCTTTTATAAATGTGTGACGATCTATAATATACTTATGCTATATAACAGTTAGAGGTGTTGACTCAACGACCTCGAGCCTGTGAACCCTTGAGTATTATTCCGGGATCGGGCCTTTTATACTAAACGGTGAGCAACATCAGAAACGAGCGTTCGATTTGCTAAACGATATGCGTCACCCTTTAAGTAAAAGAAATCACTCAGACATTTTCACACAATTTACATAATTCAAATGCCTATACAGCAGGGAACAGAATGATTAACTGATAGAACTTTCTATAATCACACTTTTACTTCTCCACGGTAGGGGCACTCGGTTGAGGACTTGAGCTCATATTGACGTCATAACTCATATTGAAAATCTGAAAAACTCACTTCAGATATCTTCATATATATTCATCACCAGCTTCCAATTTGTTAAACTTCTGAGGGAACAAAAGACCCAGGTACTCTGATAATATTGTGGGAAACGAATGATAAACTTTTAAGTTCATTTTTTAAGATCATTTTTTATCAGAACTTCTGGATCTGTCCTTGTGCATTGTTAATACAACCTAGGTAGCTACTTGAACTTTCTCAAACACTCAACATTTTTGTTGTGCCTACATTTTAAAGGGAAACCCTGTGGGTAACTAGGGTGTCCCAATTAATATTGCGGACCAGCTAGCAGCAGGAATATCTGGTTACAAGGCATAGAGGCCGGCACATGGTATATGCCATGGAAATGTAAAATATAAATTTTCCAAGCATCCCTCTCTCGCTTTATACCTGCGTTTCCGCTTTAAAATATCTAAAGATATTGTAAAAATGTCACAAATGTAAAACATACATTTGAGGTCATTATTCGTCAAGTTCTGATAAAGTGGTTTACATTTTAGATATTTCCAAGACATCAACGCAACACCAACAAGCTGAAGCAAACCAACAGCTCTGCAAGGATGCCCCTGCACTTGTTATTGGTTCAGAGACTTCATCCGTTAGTCAGGTAAACTGAAACATTTTTATTTTTTTACTTTACTACAAATTGGCATGATAGAAAAGAAAACATAAAATAGCGCAAAATGAAAATAAAATACATTTGCCGGGCTTTCCGCGAAGAAACTTGTGACCAAATATGGTTTCCTTCATTAACATATTGATATAAACAATAACAAAAACGGCTGACGATCAAGACGTGAGTGAACGCATTTTCTGGTTTGTTTTCCTCGATTATTCTCGCTCGAATCCTCGCCACATCACGGTAACAATTCAATATAATGGGACTTGAAATAAAGAAAGTATAGGTTCGAAAAGTAATAAATTAGCGTTAATAGAGAGATTTCGCACATAAGTGAAAGTACAACTTATACGTATACGTATACTTTAAAGGGTCGCGTCGAACTATTATATTTACTAAAATCAATTTCAAATTGTACTTAATGGAACATAACTATTCCCGATATAGAAAAGCTCCATCAACTAGAGACTGTGAATGCACTGTCATCTGCACGTGTAGATTATGCACATTATAATTAAATGCTTGCTTCCATGTCCTAGAAGTTGTCGTGTATTATAAACACGATACTTTAAACTAGATGATAAATCTATACAGTTGGATCTCCGTATAAAGCTTTACCTACATGTGTGTGGAACAATTGACCACAAGTAGGAACAGTATCCAATCAAATACTTCAACCATCAATTTGAAACACCAATCAAACCAGTAGGTTCTAGCAATTCCTGGAAACGACCCATTCAGTAGCTCAACAAATGACATACAGGGTGTTTCATAACGAGCATCTCCAAAAAGTCAATTTGAGAAGAGATAGGTTTATAACATATGTACTATATATGAGCCTATTTTATTCTAAACAAACACATTTGGATAAACTAAACATGCTACAATTCAAGAAAGTACAAATGGTATCCCTTTGACCTTTATTTATTACAGTCCGAGGAGATATTTACCGGGGCTAAGAACCGCGATTTCGATGTCAACGCAGACACGACATATCAACGAATATTAATCTTCTTTGTTCTCGTGCTCTCGCTCCCAGTTTTCAAATACTGTCGATACCTTAATAGCAGGGGGTCAAATACCGCGGATTTAGTTTTCGAAGACAGTCTTTATTGGACTACATTCTTTCAAACATAATTAGTAGCGCTTTATAGTACATCGATTATAAATGTGTTTTGCAAAGCTTACAGAAAAGTCAAAAAATAAAGTACATAATAAAAACAGATTCTCACGTGTACTTAAAACATGCAAGAACTGTAAGGAAGTAAATAATACTGATCACACCTTCGTCAATTTTATGTCACGTGGAATCTACATACTATCAGACACAAAGTATAATCAAAAACAATACTTGAACAGTATTAAACAGCAAGGCCGTAGAACTAAACAATTTGGTTAATGTCGCAATTATAAACTATAACACGAACAGTAATTTAAATAGTATAAACAATGTAAGATGCATTCCTTAAATGACATTCAGACAACACTATAAATGCGAGATAACTATTGAATCTCCGTAGGAGAGATGCGTTGTATATTCAATCAACAACCAAAATAGAAAATATGCACCTCTGCGATCACAATTGAAACTGATAAATATGCCATGATTACAATACTATAATATTTAATAAGACAACAAACAACCAGTCATAAAATGCCACTTGAGCAGAGCCAAAGCTTATAAAGTCTAAGTATGCGTAAAATCAAGAAGTAATAAATTTCGTAACAGCTATAATGTGATAAAGAGCGAATTATTCAAGGAGAGGCAATACGATTAGGGCGTAGGGTTCAAATCAGTTTTAACACGCTGCTCATACAATTAATTTCTCATTATCTATCTGTAATATTGTATGATCTAGATAACCATTTCACGGCCACTTATGAGATCTTTAAATAAGGCTGTCTTTATAGCAGTTTGATAGATTTTGGTCAGAGGGAAATGATATCTACTCCAGTACTTGCATTTGGAATTGGAAGCAGTAGCTTTTTCAATTGACATACTAAAAGTATATCTTAAAACACGATTGTTACTGCCAGCTCCATCATGTTTTAGCAACTTATCTTGCTAAGATCTTCACCAAGAGATTTTCTGCTTTATTACTTAAATGCAATTTTGTTAAATTCCAGTCTTAATGATCCCACCGGGTTGAAATTGTATGCTCTGTCTTAGAAACTAGAAACCCGTAACTCCGATTACGGGTAATAATATTCACCACCTACTTATACCCTTAATATCAAGAAAAAGGTATACAAGCTTTGAACAATAATTTTCAATCTTCCGAGTCAAAAATGAATATTCAATACCATAATCACACCTGATGTTTATGAAAATGGGACGGAGGGGGTGGGTGAGCAGGCAATTTCTGCTAGAAATCTGGAAGATTTATTTTTCAAAGACAATTTACTATTGAATTGTTTAATGATTAGGCGCATGGTATGGTAAAATATGTTAGGTCTTCTGAGATTTTTTCTGAACAGATACGCTTCTAAAATATGATTCGTTGGTATACTTATAAAGTAACTGTTAATGTTATATTCTTTCATTGCATACCTTGTAGATAAAGGAAACCCAAAGATTGAGTGCAGAGCCTCTTAACAATGACTCAACAGATATAGCACTCAAGACACACACTTTAGGTAAGAGAATTCCGCATCATAAATATGTAAACATAATATTTGCTTTTATAGAAAAAACATAATTTTTATTGGAATACAGTTAAATTGTAAGTTGAAGTCATTAATAAATATCACTTCAAGTACATGTAAAAAATAACAGATAAATGCTTAGAATGACAATTTTCGTAAATGGTCTAAAACAGCTTAGTGTGCTCAGAAATGGGACTGCCCCGCATATGCGATTAGTGGTATCATATCGACTTTGTACTCAGGCCTATAATGGAGGGATTTGGCCTTGCATAGGTGATAGCTCTTGTTTATTATGTTTACCCTGTGAATTCCTTTTTAATTTACAGGAAGAGACTTGATGCTTCCAGTTGATTGCCTGTTTGAAGCTTCTACAGACAACAAGATTAGAGAAATCCAGGAAGCTCAGGTCGATTCAATAGTTGAGTCAATTAAACTTAGACCAGATGCCTGCTTTACTGTCATGATTGGCCACCTTCATAACAAGCCCACTGATATTGAGTCATTCCTAGATGGTCGCCATTTAGTTGAGATCATTGGAGGGAACCACACGCTACGGGCTATACAACGATTATTTAAAAATGATGGTTGCAGTCCAGACTCCAGATATGCTAAGTGGCCAGTACGGTTATACTGGGGTCTCAACTCGCTCCAACTCCTAAAATTAGCCATGGACCACAATGAAGTCCACAACGTACAGAAGTCGAGGTCCTACAGAGATACTGTGTATCTATTCCGGAAACAACTGGTTACGCTTCTAGGTGACAACCCAATACCAGAGGAACTGCCAAAAGAAATAAACAAGAAATGGCGCACAAACCTATGCATGATATTGAGAATAAAGGTGAGCTTCAAGTTCTGTTATGACTATAGCAGAAGTGCATGTCTGTCAGTCTGTGAGTCCATACCTCAACGCGCATCCTACTATAATGTGAAAAAGTGTGTGTAGGTGGGTGAGTAGGTGGTGGCTGGGTGGGTCTGCAGTGTGTCCTCCTATACTGCAGAATGTACCCCGACCATAGTAGTATGACTGGTGGGGGTAGTGAGTACTGAACGGTGTCAAGATCACCATAAGATCAAAGGCCACTAGAAGGTTCGAGATAAAAGTCTATGCTTTTTGATATATTTATTACTCGGGACCGATTCATGAAGGCAGGAAAAGTTTCATATCTTAGACATATACAGTTTCACGTTAGCCTCAAACATGTATACTAGGTATGCAGCTAGTATATGTTAGTGGATCTTGATCAAATTTTTGACTGAATTGGGCATTATAAGTTTGTATTCAGACATCTTATGAGATGATTCCTTGTTCCAAAAACAGATAACTGTTTATCAGCAGCATGACAGTAGAACTAGTAATAAAAGACATATATATATACTCCTGTATACTAGTTGTTAATAAGCTATCTACAGAGCATTAGATTTAAACTGAGTTTGAAATATTGTATGTTGTGATGTGATGTGCTGATAAATTGATGAACAATCTACGTTTTTGTAGGACCAGCATAAATTTGCTAGCTAATACCAAAATGATACTAAAGTGGCTATTTACCTGCACCTATATGGGACGAAGTTGATGTAATTCATGAACATGATGTTTATGTTTTTTCTAGTACCAACATAAATGTTCAAGCCAATACCAAAATGATACCAAATTGGCCAGTTTGACTGAACATATTTGGGACAAAGTTGACGTAATTTGTTGTTTATGTTTCTCTAGGATCAACATGAATTTACTAGCCAATTCCAAATTTATGCTTTAGTTGCCAGATTGCCTGCACCTATATGGGACAAAGTTGACGTAATATATGAATATGCTGTTTATGTGTTTCTAGGAGCAACGACAAATTTCTACCCCATATCAAAATGATACTAAAGTGGGCAAATTACCTGCACCTATATGGGACAAAGTTGACGTAATTTATGAACATGTTTTTTATTTGTTTCTAGGAGCAACAGAAGTTTTCCAGCCAATATCAAAACTATACCAAAGTGGCCAGTCTTCCTGAACCTATATGGCACAAAGTCTCTCAATTCTTCAAAGCCTGGGATGAGAACAAGATCAAACTGAAGCCCAGAGGTGAAATCAAGCAGACATGTATGATGAATGTAACAGCATCCCATTGGCAACACCTTGATGATGTGACAAATGGAAGAATCACATACAGAGAGTTTATCAAGAAAAAGAAGCCTATGAAAAACAAAGAACGCGGGTACTGTATACCTCTAAGTATTTAAACCTTTTACACACACATTAATCCAATAAAAAGTTACTTTCTGATTATTTGATTGCTTTAAAGATATATGTTCACGGTGTTATGAACTTAATGACATAAAGAGCAATAAGGCATTACATATGACATGGCAAATTACATGACATATGACAAAAGGGGCATGCATGAAATGTAGCCCATGACACAGTATTTTTGTCAGTCAGTCGGAATGCATATAGTTGTTTAATGTTATAGTGATGTTGACACTGATATTGCTGCAACTGAAACCACAGTGACTGAAATCCATGATGATGACAGAGATGATAATGAGGTTGGTCCCAAAGACAATGATAACACTAAAGATGCACAGGATGAGATTAAGAAGGTACTAGATACATATTACAATTATAATTTATAGACGTTATGCTATGGGGGGTTTTGGATTTAGGATATATACTGAGGGTAGATATTTCCCAATTGATATTCCCTATATCCAAAACAAACTCAACATAATTAATGTTGATCCCATTCTAAGGTAATCAACTATATGAAATAAAGTGCCAATCACCATTGTACATCACAACAAAACTTTGTATATTGGTGAGTGGGAGATATAATAAGTATACACTTGTGCTATCTAGCTGAGTTAAGAGTTGATATTCAGAGAGGTCTTCATTCTCTGCTAATTAAACACAGACGTAAACAGCAGACCTATCCCTCCTCTACATATGACTACTGGACTCTACTGCATCTAATAGATATATTTCTACCCGTTTCATCACCAATATTTAAATATAATGCCACAGCTTGGCCCTTGTGCTTTCTTTTACTTACAAATGGACCGTGTCATAAGTGTGTAATGATTCCAGTATGAATGAGAAGTCCCTTAGTGTTATGGTCTTGGATTGTGATTTTGATACTTTGTACATTGTTTTGGGATAGTTGGGGGTTTCTTTCCATTTGACAGCTAGATATTACATGTTTCCTTTTCTTGTTTTGTTTTGTAGTCATTTTTGGTCTTTCCCCTTTGGCACCTGTGCTTACATATTTAATATTTATCACATTTTGACCAGCTAGAATATTCCATGTATTTGTATTTCATGTATTTGGACTCATGCTCGTAGCCGGCTTTTGGTAAGGGGGGACTCTAAAAGTGGTCGCACATTTTTTTAAATTAAGGCCCGTTTCTTCAATGCTAAAAATTCCTATGGATGCACAAAAGGCCAACATTGTGGCCCTATTGCACGTTTTGGGTGAAAAAGGTACGTCCGCATTTTATAGAGATAT